GCCTTTTTTAGGGGTTTTTTTTAGGGTTAGGTTAGGGTTTAGGGTAGTTTTAATAATAAAAGAGTATAAGTGGATTTTGTTAGGGTTTATATTTTTAAATTAAGGTCCCTAATTTCCAGCTTCAGTCGCGACAATTATTTTCTTCGAAAAAATTTTCATCCTCAGAAGAGCTACCAATCGATAGGATAGATTCCTCATCAGAACTAATATAACTTGAAGGTATCATCAATTTATTAATATACGGTTTTAAAAGCGATTTTAAAAAAAGAAAAAAATTCATCGTTACGATCATTGATTTAATAGCCATATTGGACTTCGGGCTTTTAAACTATAAATATCAAATTTTATAAAAATTGGACCCGATATTATAAGTTTAAAGCCCTGATACATTACTTTTCTTTTAAATCGCATTTGCATAAATTTTATATACGTTTGCATACTATACACGATATATTAATTTATGCGTAATAGTAATCTCATCAACCATACACACATGTTTGCTAATTTAACGTATTATGCTCCACTACTTTACTAAACCATACCCTACTATTATTCGTATTACTCATCACCAGACGTATATTGGTCTTTTATGGAACCAGCTAACCAAAAGCACGGCCAAATATTGTTAAAATGTGTGATAACTTTGTAGAGAATTTTAATGGTGACGGGATGGATATTTTGCCACCCAAATTTTCACATGATGGTTTTTGGAAGGAAAATGATGAAGAGCTAGCAATCGTCATGGCCGGAATTCTTGATGTTTTGAATGATGTTTGGAATAAAATAGCCCAGCCTTTGAAGCCCAATTTGTTAATTTACAGAGTGAGGGGACATATGTGATGGACATAATAGTTCCTCTCATTAAAAGTGCTTTGAAGGATCTTCCGATTAGAGAGACTGCTTTTTTAAGCACATGAGTGAATTACCTATAATTTTATTAGTTATTAATTAGCTCTAAAAATCAATATATTATCAATTTTATTAACATATTTTTTTTAGTGCAAAGAAGCAAACTTCAGCCAGTTCAGATAGGAAGGGGGAGGAAACAAGGCAAGAGACCAGACATTATGTTTGTGGAGGAGTATAAGGGTAAATTATATGAACTTCTATTTGCGGAATGTTCACACATTATATATACAAAGCATAAGGAGACGGATGATAAAGTAAAATTATGGCACGAGATGAATGATGGGATGTTCTGGGTTTAGAAGGAGTGTAGACAGACAGAAATGAATTTGGGATTGTTGGTATCCAGATTGCTGGAGAAATGATGCGATTAAATGTCCTTATAAGGGATTTAAATGAAGTTCATCATCTATATAGAATATGTTCAGCTAAAATCCCAGTTCAAGTGACCAACAAAGAAGAAGTATTGCAATTGGTAGAACTCTGTTAATTTTATGAAATATTATAATCATTATTATTTCATTCAACTGATATCAGATTTCTACAGTATTATCTGAATAAATAGTTAAGATTTAGTGTAATAAAAATAAATTGGTTATATGTTTTGAATAACTACATTCATATCTTGTAATTCATTTTTATTTTTATATATTAAGTTTGCTCTGGTATCTGATTTCATATAAATATGAGTACCACTAAGGCTATTCTTATAACGCACCTAGTATTGCCGCCAAAGTCAATTACATAGTTGCTTTTTAAATTTCAATCAGCGCACAAAAATAATAGAGTCACAAGATCATAAGAATTTTGAAAAAATAATCGAAGTTTTGTTTTTTTGGTTGTCTCTTATTTTTGAGATAAACTACGGCACTTAGGTTCGTTTTGACAGACGTTTTGAGTTTTTTAAGACTTAGTGCGAAAATATCTAAAATACCATCGGGCCAAATTCGATAAACTTTTTTTTTATTTGAATTATACGAATTCATAGAATTCAAATAAAAAAAATTCATCGAATTTGGCTTGGTGGTTGCCGAGATATCTTCGCTCAAAGTTCAAAAAAACTTTAATATGTATGGGGATGGATATCAAATTTGGGGGTACAAATATAATCCCCTTTTTATATTTAATTAATAAAGTTGAATCCTAAAAATTTACAATAGAAATATAAAAAAAATGAATAGAATTATAAGCAAATAGAACAAAAATAACATGACAACTCTGGTTATACTGTAGCTGCTTTTTCAAATTACTTGCTTTTTTATATTATAGCATATAGGTCATTTTTATTTTCTGAATTACTTGAAACCTCATCAAATTTATTAGGCTCTGATAGTTATAAATTTGTAATTTGTGTTTAAAAATACCATTTGACCTACACTTACAGTATTATAATAAAGTTGACTAATATTATCTCTTACACTGTAAGCAAGGTATTATTTTTAAGCATCAATCGAAAACTTAGTTCTTGATCAAATTTAAGGCAACATCTATTTCCACCATAAAATTTGCTATTTCCACCATTGGTCGTAATTTAACTTATGATATTTGTCATATTTATATTAGCTTTAAAGACATAGTGGAAATAGCAAATTTCCATGGTGGAAGCAGGCGTTCCCAATGTAAATCGCGAATAGATTGGTAGCGCAACCAAAATTCAGTAGATCGGCCCGAATTTAGGGTCGGAATAGGTCGGAATTGATAAATTTTTACTAATAAACTGGCAGCCTAAATATTAAGTAAAATTGCTCAGCTACTAATTTTGCTATAGTATAGTGATAGTATGGTTAGCCAGTATTATTGCTTAATGCCGACCAAGCTTCGGCCTATTCCGACCCCAAATTCGGGCCGATCTGCTGAATTTTGGTTGCTACTAATCTATCCTGTGTTATGCTCAAATACTATTTTTAGTTAGTATCATATTATTTATTCTTCATTATTTTTATGTACTTCTTATTTTGGTATAGTTTGTGGCATAGCGGGGGATTGAAACCCTCAGCGAGGGATTAAAACCCTACACGAATTAAAGATATATAAGGGTGTGGTTTCAGTCAGTGAACAGTAGTTAGAACGATGAATTAATGAGTGAATAGTATTTGAGCATTATTGTAATATTCCGATATATTAATTTATACTAATAAAGAGAAACCTTAACCCGTAATTATGTGTGTTAGTCTATTGATTTAAACCATTTACCTTAACCACTATTTGTCTACGATCGAAGCTAAATTGGTCCAAGACCCTATAAGCTCTCCCACCGATCGTAACACCTGATACAGTATATCTCGACGTTATACAGTAAATATATAACCATCGAAAATAGTAGTACACTTGCAATTAAATGATTTGTTTTTTCTCATTTTTAAAAAGTAAGATGAATTATAATAATTTGGTTCATAAAAACCATGCTAATTTAAACCCTTATGAACTTGGTTACAATTATCAACATGGGATAGGGGATCAAAAATCTGCGGAGATGGAGAATGCTAACGGAATTTATAATGTTGGGTATTGCTATTTTAATGGAATTGGAGTTGAAAAGAATGAACATAAGGCGTTTATTTATTATCAAAAGTCTGCGGAGATGGGAAATGCTGACGGAATTTATAATGTTGGATATTGCTATTTTAATGGAATTGGAGTTGAAAAGAATGAACATAAGGCATTTATTTATTATCAAACGTCTGCGGAGATGGGAAATGTTGACGGAATTTATAATGTTGGATATTGTTATTTTAATGGAATTGGAGTTGAAAAGGATGAACATAAGGCATTTATTTATTATCAAAAGTCTGCGGAGATGGGAAATGCTGACGGAATTTATAATGTTGGATATTGTTATTTTAATGGAATTGGAGTTGAAAAGGATGAACATAAGTCATCATGAATATCAAGTTTTTTAGATGCACACTCATATTTTTCTATATAAAATATACATATAACATTTAAAA